TTAGAGCATCTCCATTCATGCTCTCCAAATTTACGGTTTTTTATAATGCATTTTTGCCATGTCATTATCATGTAAAAAATCTCAAAACTTATTATCTTGTTCTCAATCATGATATCTGTTTATCCAGATTTTTATGGGACATACACTTAAATTAAGAATCTCTCACTTAGTTTTTAATGGATGTATTTAAGAGTTATGAAGGCATGAAGCTTCCTCCTATTCCTATATATGCTACGTACATAGTAGTATATATTTGCAACCATAGTATGTATATAACGAATTTCAAGAATGGGCATATTAAAAGATGACGTAATTATGTTTTGAACCTTGAACTTTGAAAATAATCTTGAATAATCAAGGTTTTGATATTTGATACTAGATTATTTTTCAAAATAATCTCTTCAAATAATCTCAACATCTCAACCATGATCTCAAAAAATATCATCCACATCATCAAGATGATCCCCAAATAAACTTATGGATGGGGATGCCCTTAGGAGTATAAAAGGATATCGAAGCTTCGTGTGGCCGAGTGTAAGGTGTGTTACTATATCTCCGTGGTGTTTGGAATTCTTGAGAAGTGGGTACATTTAAAAGTCATTAGTGGTAGTCTACGTAGTACTACCTCCGTCCCAAATTTATACCTTGATGAAAGTACTTTTAACAAAGAACATTTTCATATAATTTTTATAATATAAATAATTTCCAATAAAAAGATATATTTGGTCAAAGTTTTGAAAATAATTTCCATTATTTTCTTTTATGCACTAATCACTTTTCTCTCTGTGTTTTCGTATTTTGATGAATATAGATTGCCAAAACTTTAGCCATGTATGTATATGCACGTGGTAATGAGTTTTGGGTTCCTCGCTACCATCCGGTTCAATCAAAACTTGGCCATTTGTTTTTTATTTGCCAACTAATTTTATTTTCAAGACTGCGAGTTTAAAAGTGTAAAATTGTACCATTTGTTTGTTGAAAACCATTGTGTTATACTACGTATTATGATAATCTAGCTTTATATTCTTTCTCAAACAAAATTTGCTCATACAATCATATGTACTTCGTATTAATTAGTCTTACAAATTGAAATACGCATAGTGACTTAATCTTTCTGTTCAATTAACTGCCATGAGTGATTTAATGCATATGTTCTAATAGTTTGACTTTAATTATTTTAACCCGTAAAACATGTAGCATTATTTAAGGGTAATCGATGGTGATGGATCTATAGGTACCAATGTACCATGTCAAAATAAAGCAATAATTAACAATCACACATTATTAGTACATCACACAATAGTACATCATTTTTTTTCCTAATGAAAGCAAGCTAAACACTTGACTTATGTAGGGTGTGAATCAATTACTCATGGATCAGTTTCCCAAGCATGAAAAGAACTACAAAAATTACATCGATATTTAAGGCCCATATAATAAATTGTTCTTAATTTATAAAGATGTATGTATTTTTTCTTGAGTGAAGTAATAATTGCTACTATGCATAACAACATTCTGTTGTTCCATTTCAAATACAGAAAGATATATCAGCTATTTTTTGATAAAAATAACTTTTACCTATACCGACCATTGAATGGAAAAAATTGTCGACCCGAAACAAAAAGGGAGAATTTGACTTTGCGCCCCACTTTTTGGGTGATATTGAATTTTGCAACCAATTTTAAAAAAACTATGACTTACCTATCATTTAACGTTTGTGAAGGAAAATTTCTAAATAGGGTGCAAAGTCAAAGGATTTTGAAGTGAAATGAGGTGCAAAATCAAAGTTTTTTTAAAATAAGGTGCAAAGTCCAATATATCATCCAAAAAGTGAGGTGCAAAGTCAAATACCCCCAAACAAAAATGGACAAAAAGTGAGGCGTCTAAAAAAACATATACTTCATATCTTTTCAAAAAAACATATACTTCATATATACTACCTCTGTAACGTAAAGATCTTCTCATTTCCTCTTTTTAACCGTAACTAAATAATCTTCCTATTTCTAAATCTTCTCATCATACCTTCAATAATTTTAAAAATAATACACTATTCCAGCTACTTTTTTTGGATTTATCCTTCATTCCATCACATTATTTTATTATCTTCCCATCATACCCTCACCAACTTTTCATTTGTGAAGATTCCAATGTTACGGAGGTAGTATTAACTATAAAAATGAATGGAAGAAACACACATATATCTGATTTCAAAATAATTAAAGCAAAATTACAAAACCTAAAACATAAATCAGTGGTATTCATAATCCGAACTTTGCTAAATCATTGAATATTTTGTGAATAAACCTGAAAACCAAATCTAAATGATTTTACATTAAATGTTAATCGAAAACTTGATTATTTATTTGAAAGAATAATATAGGAGAAACCATGACCTTGCGTTTTAAACCATGACATTGGATACGACTGAATGAAGCCGATGTCGATTTGCTGGGTACGTTGATTGTGTGGAAGGTAAGTGCGCGCTAAATGGATTGCGGAGTAATATTAATTAGTTCATCAACAATTTGGTTTGTGCTAATGAACTTGGGTCCATATGCCACCTTAATAATTTTGGCGATGGTCGGAAAATATTTTTTGGTGGACTTTTGTTATAGTTTGGACATTATTTTTTTATGTTGTGTTGTATGGTTACACCACTTTTTTTTATTCTTCTCATTATTTCTTTGTTGTCTTAATTTTAATTTAGAGTACATTTACCTAATGCTTTGAATGGTATGCTCAAAGACAGTAGAATGGTTTGGAAAATATATATCACCATTGTTTTGGAAGTGTTTTGAGAGGTATAAGCGCCCAAGTGAAAAAGTGGTGATAGAATATTTTGACTTCATCAGAGATTACTTTTAAAATAAAGTTTCAAAGAAGACAATATCACATTTTTCGTATTATTATGCAATTAACAAGAGTCAAAAATTATCCTTATTTCATATTGATTTTACCTTTTCTTTTCTAAGAGTTACTCTAATTTTAATTGCTAAAAATATCCCGTGCATCGCACGGGTACAATACTAGTTTATCACAAATCTATAACAATATACCGATGTAATCAAGCATTCAACATTTACATATATACATAAGATCGAAATAAACATATATGGAGTATGATCCTAAATGAATGAACAAGACAAAGAAAAACACAGGTTGAAGTTTACAATAAAAAATGTGGCTGCTCATTGGTATATTCAAAGGAGACCATCTCTATCCCTTCCATGTGCATCGGTTCGAGCCGCAAGAGCACCATTCATTGGTCTTCAAGCTTCTCCTACCCGAGTGCACAATGTTGTTGGGTGAGGAAGATGATTGTGAAGGCGGGCGTAGATGAAGAAGAGCGACGAAAATGAATGCGGTGAGGACAGGTAACGACAGGGAAGGAGCTTTGCTATGTCGGACTAGGGATATGGGGAAGGGAGCGAGAGAAAGAAAAGAAACAACAATGAGAAACGGAAGAGGGGATAAGAGAGATGCAGGGTAATGGACGGTAAAAAAAAGGCCTTTATATAGCGTGTACAAAGTGTGTACAATGAGTGGGTACAAGAAACATTTTTGTACATATAAAAAGAAAAAAAAATCCTTGGATCGACACCCGAGTTTTGTTGACAATTTGATTATCCCTCTGTCCCTCGAATTAAGTTCACACTTCAATACATTTTCTTATTTGACAAATTATCTACATCAAAACAGTGTCAAACAGTGTCCAAACAGTAAACTTTACTCCCTAATAAATTTATTTCCTTAATATGTGTGAAATTTAAATATATGGGGCGGAGGGAGTATGATAGTCTCTCACGCACAAAGGTATGAAATATGAATGCATTACTGCCACCATAAAGGGCAGTAGTGGGTACATCTTAGCTTGCTGCTACGCACTCAAGCCCCCGATCGACCGCCTTTTTTCCTCTCTCTATTTGGCTTCGCTGCTATTTTCACACACCGCACACCCAAAAATTAAGTCGCACATTCCAATCAACCCCTCCTCATAGATGGGAATGGAGTCCATCCGACCCAGCCCAGCTCCAAACAGGACCCTTCTGGCCAGGACTTTTCGCAAGCTCATTCACCTCAAGACTTCTTCTTCTTCTTCCTCTTCTAAGAATGCGTTTTGCCTTCTCATTCCCCAAGAAAAGTTCAAGTGCTGTGAGCTGTTGGGCACAGAAGAGATAGAGGAATGCAAAGAGAGTTCAAGAAACAAGGCTGTGCTGGAGGCCTTGGTTGCCAAGCTCTTCGCCACCATTTCTTCTCTCAAGGCAGCTTATGCTGAGCTGCAGCTGTCTCAGTTCCCCAATTACAACCATGAAGCCGTTCAGGCTGCAGATCAAGCTGTGGTTGGTGAGCTCAAGCTCCTCTCTGACCTCAAGCACGGGTGTTGGAAAAATGATGATATAAATGTTATTGTTTTTAGTTCTCTTAGAGTTCTAAAATAATATGTATAAAATATGAATTGAGTGTGGCTTATTATACATCAAAGAACAATTTTTTACGTTTGGATTTATATCATTTAATGATTAAAATCCATAGTTGTAAAGATTGTAAAAGTGATGTATTGAGAATTTTTGTTCTATTTATAAAATGATTGGTCTTCTTTAGATGTTATATGATAAAGGAATGCTATTCAAGTATCATATAAAGTGGCTTAGAAATTATCCCATCAGAATCACTTATTCGTACAGATAAATGAGGGCCGAATAAGAATGTTTGGGTTATAATTTCAAGCTTGTGGACCATATGATTTTTGGGACAAATATTCTAATACTACGTATGTTATTTATCATTTTATAATGACAAATGCACATCGTGGCACTTGAGCTTATTGCGGAAGTTTCAAAATCAAAATTTTGAACTATCCGATGTGTAAGGTGTAAGCTTGGTCAATAAAGTTTGTGGATCCTATTTTTTTTGAATGGTGGATGCACAATGATAGGACCGCACTCCATTTCATTTATTTTATTTTGATTTCCAATAGATTACTCTCCGCTGCATGCTTCCAAAATCCGACGTACAGAAGCATTTTAAAACCCACTAGCTTATCCATTCTATTGATATACACGAACAATCTGTTCGTTCTCATCTGCGATCACTTCAATTCTTTTCTTCACTTCGAAAATATAGCTTTGTTCTTTTCCGAGAGAAGTCATATATTTTCATAGTTCATACTTCACTTCTTTTCCGGCTCATCTCTTTCAAACGGCAATTGGGCAACGGTCGAAGTGTTTCTGTCAAGCAAGCTAAAGGACTGAAACAGAGGTAGGATTATCCTGGGAGCGAGTTGGCCAGTCCCGTTCGAGTAGCTATCGAGATACGGGGGCTATCTTTCTTCAAGGCCAGTCCGGTTAACGGGCGATCTTACGCTAAGTCATTCTTTCTCTATCTTTTATATTAATATTTCGTATCTAATTATTGTTGTTATTTTATTTGTTCTTGCATTTGGTGGTTTGTCTGGTGATTTGTGATTAAACTCGGGATTTTATCTGCCAAAACTCGCCATTTAAATACTATTTTTCTAACAATCTTGAAGAAAGATATTATATCTCGAGTTTTGAAAATCCAATATGACGAACTTGGAAAATGCTGCTACTTCTGAAAACGTTGTTGTTGAGAATAATGTGAATGAAACCCCTGAAAATAAAGTTAATTCTGTGTTTGTGACTAATTCTGGAGACACACCTGAATTTGTTGCTATGGGCTCTCACAGGGTTGATTTGACCGGAATGCCTGAAAAATTTTCCGGGCATTTTTTCAAGCGTTGGCAACAACGCATGAAAATTTGGTTAATCACCAAGGGGTTGCTCTCGGTAATTATGACGGTGTGTCCCCCCGTTGTCGAGTCTGATCCCAAAAGTGTTGAACGCCAAACTTTATGGCGTGAGAGGAATGAAATAGCCAAAGGAATGATATTGTTGGGACTCTCCGACATGTTATTTGATGTCTATTGCACCCTCCACGGCACGGCTAAAGACCTTTGGGATGAGTTGGATAGGAAATATAATACTGATGACCATGGTCTAGAAAAGTATATTGTTTCCAAATTCTTGAGATTCGACATGAAAGAGGGAAAATCTGTTTTAGAACAAACACAAGAATTTGAGCTTATCTTACATTCTCTCCGTGAAGCAGATATGGAATTGCCTGAAAAATTTAAAGTCATGGCTGTAATTGAAAAATTCCCCAAATCGTGGGAAGATTTTGGTTTGACTTTAAAACACAAAATGAAAAAGATAACTTGGAAAAGTTTGATGCATTCCATTACTGTTGAGGAAGAACATAAGAAAGCGGGTTATATTGTGCCTGTTGAATTTCAGCCAAAGGCTCATGTTGTAACCGGGGGAAAGCAGTCACAAAATTCTAAAAATAAACAACCATCATCTTTTAAACCAATAAAGGCCAAATTAAAAATTGCAAAGAAACCAAAGGCAAACCGGCCATGCTGGAACTGTGGACAGATGGGGCATTGGGCCAAATTATGCCCAAATAAAAAGGCTAAGGCTCAATCTGGTGGACCTCAAGTCAACGTGGTGACTAGAGGAACTAGTTCCGATGGGTATGTTTCTATTAACCCTCAAGTTTTCACTATATATAATTCCAATGAGTGGCTAATAGATACAGGAGCGAATGTGCATGTATGTGCTGATAAATCGCTCTTTGTTTCTTATCAGCCAGCGGTTGGAAGAACAGTGATGATGGGAAACACAAGTGCTGCTAGTGTGCATGGAGTTGGAAAAGTAGAAATAAAATTTCCTTCGGGAAAAATACTTACTTTGCATGGAGTGCATCACGTTCCCGAAATTAGAAGGAACATTGTTAGTGGTTCCATTCTAGTTAGGGAGGGTTATGAGTTATCTTTTAAATTTAATAAAGTTGTAATTTTATTTGGTGGACTTTTTATTGGCAAGGGTTACTTGTCGGATGGACTTTTTAAGATTGTGGTTGATTATTTTGAATTAAATTATGTATCTGAGAATTGTGATTCTTCAACTTTATGGCATTATCGTTTGGGTCACGTTAATTTAGATTCTGTAAAAAGAATGATGAATTTAAATTTAATTCCTAAACACTCTATTGATAAAACTAAGAAATGTATGGTATGTGCTACTACAAAACAAGTAAGAAAACCATATCATTCAATTGATAGAAATTCTGAATTACTTGATTTAATTCATACCGACATTTGTGAGTTTAATGGAGTGTTGACTCGTGACAAGAAGAAATACTTTATCACTTTTATTGATGATTATTCTAAATACTGTTATGTGTATCTACTTAAGGGTAAAGATGAAGCTCTTGAAAAATTCTTAATTTTTAAGAATGAAATAGAGAATCAAACCAGCAAGAAAATTAAAAGGTTAAGATCTGACAGGGGAGGAGAGTACACTTCTAATTTAGTTGTACTAGAATGCCAAAAATATGGTATAGTACATGAAGAAACACCTCCTTATTCACCACAATCAAATGGAGTAGCTGAACGGAAAAATAGAACTTTTAAAGATATGATTAACAGTTTATTAGAGAATTCTGGATTACCTAAGTTTATGTGGGGGGAAGCCTTGAATACGGCCTGCCATATTCTGAACAGGATTCCCATGAAACATAAAGATAAGTGTCCATTTGAACTCTTGATAGGCAGAAAACCAAGTTTAAAATATTTTAAAGTGTGGGGCTGTCTTGCAAAAGTATTAGTCCCTGAACACAAAAGAAAGAAACTTGGGCCTAAAACTGTTGATGCTATTTTTATTGGTTATGTTGAGCATTCTTATGCATTGAGATTTTTGGTTATTAAATCTGAAATTTCTGGCATAGATGTTAATACTATTATAGAACTTCGTGATGCTACTTTCTTTGAAAATGTTTTCCCAATGAAAACGGGTGTCCCCCAAAATATTTCTTTTAAAAATCAAGAAACCACATTTAATTCAATTCCTGATCAAGTGGAAAAGATGACAAATGTGGGGGTAGAATCTAGTAGTACTAGTCTCGCTAGTTTTGAATCAAACGAACTAGATGAGCCTAGAAGGAGTAAACGGGCTAGGATCACTAAGGATTTTGGAAGTGATTTTATCACTTATAATATTGAGGGTGATCCAGTTTCCTTTAGACATGCAATGGCTACTCCTGAAGCCATGCATTGGAAGGATGCTATTAAAAGTGAAATGGACTCCATTGTTCAAAATGGAACATGGGAGCTTGTTGATCTTCCTCCCGGGTGTACTACTATTGGATGTAAATGGATTTTTAAGAAGAAATTAAAACCAGATGGAACCATTGATAAATACAAGGCCAGATTAGTTGCTAAGGGTTACAAACAAAAAGAAGGTATTGATTTTTTCGATACATATGCTCCGGTTGCAAGAATGACCACAATTAGAATGCTTATAGCAATGGCCTCCGTATATGGTCTTAAAATTCATCAAATGGATGTAAAGACAGCTTTTCTTCATGGTGACCTTGAAGAAGAAATTTATATGGATCAACCTGAAGGATTTGTGGCAAAAGGCAACGAGAGAAAAGTTTGTAAATTAGTTAAGTCTTTATATGGACTTAAGCAAGCCCCTAAGCAATGGAACGAAAAATTTGATAAGATAATTCTTTCGTTTGGATTTACCCTTATAGATGCTGATCAAAGTGTTTATTATAAATGTAAAGGTGATATTAGTATTATTTTATGCCTATATGTTGATGATATATTATTATTTGGCACTAATGATAATATTATTTTTGAGACTAAGTCATTTTTGAAAACAAAATTTGAAATGAAGGATATGGGGGTGGCCGAAGTAATTCTTGGACTAAAGTTGACTAGATCAACTGAAGGAATTTCTATTTCTCAGTCGCATTATATTGAAAAATTAATTGAGAAATTTGGATTTAAAAATAGTAGAATTGCTAAAACACCCTATGATCCTTCAGTAGCTTTGTATAAAAATGAAAGTGGTGTTCCTGTGTCTCAATTAAGATATTCTCAGATGATTGGTAGCTTGGGTTACTTAGCTAACTGTACTAGACCTGATATTGCATTTTCAGTGTCTAAGTTGAGTCGGTACACTTGTTGTCCAAACAGAACTCATTGGGAGGCCTTAGATAGAGTATTTAGATACTTAAAAGGAACTATTTCCTTGTGTTTGCATTATGGTAAATATCCTCCTGTTCTTGAGGGATATAGTGATGCAAGCTGGATAGCTAAGAACTCCGGGAGTTATGGATGTACCGGCTATGTGTTTACGTTTGGTGGTGGGGCTGTTGCCTGGAAGTCCACTAAACAAACGATACTTTCTCGGTCTACTTTTGAGGCTGAATTGTGTGCATTGGATACTACTGGAATTACGGCTGAATGGTTTATGGGATTAATGTCTGAGTTACCAATATTTAGCAAGCCAATTCCACCTATTTGTTTGCATTGTGATAGTATGAGCACAATTGCAAAAATTAGGAGTACCAAGTATAATCAAAAGACTAGGAGACACATTCAAGTTAGATTAAAGACTATAAGGAAATTTGTGTCTCAAGGGGTGTTAGCTGTTGATTTTGTTGGATCCAAAGATAATACAGCGGACCCGTTAACAAAAGGACTTGATTTAAATCAAGTGATAAAATCCAGGTTAGGAATGGGACTGAAACCCAATAATTATTCAACTACGGTAGCAACCCAACCTATCTGAGTGGAGATCCCATAAAGTAGGTTCAATGTGGTATAAACAAACCGTAGTGTGAATTGTGCATCTCACTAAAATATGTTATGAGTTCTATTCCTTGATAAGCCTGAGAGATGCTGAAATTGCTAAGTTAGTAAGAGTTAAAGACTTTGAATGGGGTCAAGCTTTTATAGCAGAGTGTTAGCAATGCACTCTTGGAGATGCCCAACTATGAGAATGTTATTGTGTGGCCGCAATTAGAGAATATGGGTTAATTCTCGATGACATTCTTGAGACAGGATCGGGACGCACGGCCGTAAAGCGTCAACCCTATAGATCGTTGCCATTGCCATTAGTGTGTTGCTTTTATCCCACGCCAACACTATCAAGGTTCGAGTTCAAGAACTCTGTTCACTCAGTTCCTGTGGGGGTTAGGGATAAAAGCTTAGAAGTTGGTTCAAACCGGAAGGTACCATATTCGAAAGCACACTATGTCTGTTAGAGTCTAGTCTACAACTATGGATTTGTGGGGGATTGTTGGAAAAATGATGATATAAATGTTATTGTTTTTAGTTCTCTTAGAGTTCTAAAATAATATGTATAAAATATGAATTGAGTGTGGCTTATTATACATCAAAGAACAATTTTTTACGTTTGGATTTATATCATTTAATGATTAAAATCCATAGTTGTAAAGATTGTAAAAGTGATGTATTGAGAATTTTTGTTCTATTTATAAAATGATTGGTCTTCTTTAGATGTTATATGATAAAGGAACGCTATTCAAGTATCATATAAAGTGGCTTAGAAATTATCCCATCAGAATCACTTATTCGTACAGATAAATGAGGGCCGAATAAGAATGTTTGGGTTATAATTTCAAGCTTGTGGACCATATGATTTTTGGGACAAATATTCTAATACTACGTATGTTATTTATCATTTTATAATGACAAATGCACATCGTGGCACTTGAGCTTATTGCGGAAGTTTCAAAATCAAAATTTTGAACTATCCGATGTGTAAGGTGTAAGCTTGGTCAATAAAGTTTGTGGATCCTATTTTTTTTGAATGGTGGATGCACAATGATAGGACCGCACTCCATTTCATTTATTTTATTTTGATTTCCAATAGATTACTCTCCGCTGCATGCTTCCAAAATCCGACGTACAGAAGCATTTTAAAACCCACTAGCTTATCCATTCTATTGATATACACGAACAATCTGTTCGTTCTCATCTGCGATCACTTCAATTCTTTTCTTCACTTCGAAAATATAGCTTTGTTCTTTTCCGAGAGAAGTCATATATTTTCATAGTTCATACTTCACTTCTTTTCCGGCTCATCTCTTTCAAACGGCAATTGGGCAACGGTCGAAGTGTTTCTGTCAAGCAAGCTAAAGGACTGAAACAGAGGTAGGATTATCCTGGGAGCGAGTTGGCCAGTCCCGTTCGAGTAGCTATCGAGATACGGGGGCTATCTTTCTTCAAGGCCAGTCCGGTTAACGGGCGATCTTACGCTAAGTCATTCTTTCTCTATCTTTTATATTAATATTTCGTATCTAATTATTGTTGTTATTTTATTTGTTCTTGCATTTGGTGGTTTGTCTGGTGATTTGTGATTAAACTCGGGATTTTATCTGCCAAAACTCGCCATTTAAATACTATTTTTCTAACAACGGGTACCTCAACAACCAGGCCGGCTCTTCCCCACCCCATGTCACCCTCATGCTTTCCGAGATTCAAGAGCAGCAGTGCGTGATGAAGACGTATGAGATCACCATGAAGAAAATGCAAGGGGAGATCGAGAGGAAGGGGGCTCTGGTTTCCTCAATCCGGAAGGACCTCGAAGGGATTCGTGCCGGCAACAAGTCGCTGGAGAGGATGCTGAGTGCCAGTGGGAGTTCCTCCATTCTTGACGCCGTCAAGTTCTCCGATTCGGTCAATCCCAAAGATTTCGTCACGGCGCTCCACTACGCCATGAGATCTGTGAGGAATTTCGTCAAACACTTAATCCGCGACATGGAGAGGGCCAGCTGGGACATTGACGCAGCAGCGGCGGCTGCTATCCACGGCGGGGTATCGTTCGGGAGGAAGAGCCACAGGGCTTTCGCCTTCGAATCTTTCGTTTGCAGAGAGATGTTCGACGGGTTTGACGTTCCTTGCTTCTCCGCGGGGCAGCGGCAGCAGAGGGAGTTCTTCTTCGATCAGTTCAAGAAGCTGAAGCAGGAGGTGAACCATTATCCCCCCTCTTATTCTCCTTTGGGGAGGTTCTTGAAGACCAAATACCTGCTCCTGGTTCATCCGAAGATGGAGTTTTCATTTTCGGGGAACCTGGCTCAACGGAAGATGGTGAACGCCGGGGAGTTCCCGGACACGGATTTCTTCAAGGCATTTGCGGAGATGGGGAGGAGAATTTGGCTCTTGCATTGCCTGGCTTTCTCTTGCGGTGAGGAACAGCAAGTCAGCATTTTCCAGGTGCGGCGGAGGGCTAGATTCTCAGGGGTGTACATGGAGAGCGTGACGGGGGGCGAAATTTGCTCCGGGGTGGCGGCGTTCACGGTTGTCCCGGGGTTCCATGTCGGGAGAAGTGTGGTTCAAAGCCAGGTATACCTCTACCCGCTCCGCACTCCGGGCGCCGCCGCCGGCAACCAATTTTCTTCAATTGCTGCTGTGGTAGATCGACAAGAAAAACGTACAGTATTTATTACTTGAGCTATTACTTTCTATCTGGTTTAATTTCTCTTGTAAAATAGCCGTTGGGTACAGATAGTTGACGGTCAAACCATTTTCACCCGTTGGACGATGATAAGGCAGCAGTCTTAAAACGGACCTGGAGCCTCTGCCTTGCTTTAAAGCAAGGCAGGGTGTCTGGCTCTTCCGGGCCGTTCGATCGGGAATTGGACGACTGAAGATGTCGGGCTCCACTCCTTTGCCGATCTTGAGGTTGTCCTGGTCGCCTCCCCGCCGTCGGATGCCGCAAGGCACTCTGCCTTATTGCAGAGGATCCTGATCGGTCTTAAAACAACTTGAGTTGGCAATTTAGATTCAAAAGACCCTCCCTCTCCATCCCTCTCCTGATTTTGTTTGGTAAACATGCGGGGTGGGGGTATGGATAGGTCCTCACATATCAAAGAACAAAGGCTAGTTTGAATTTGCATTCCATTTTATTATTCAAATTTTGTATTTTCACTCCAATTCTGTATGAAAAGATAAAAATGTTCCCCCATTCACAATTCTCCTGGCCTTCAACATATTCCCGATCGAGGGGTATTTTTGTTTTTTCATACGGGGTTAGAGTGGAAATACAAACTTTTTTTAAAAAGCGGTGCAAAGTCCAATTGTGGACAATAAAATAGGTGCAAACTCAAATTAATCCAAAGAAACTACTAGCTATGATCACTCCGTACAATTTCTCGCTAGCTAGATGCCCTTTTAAGTACTCCATTCAAACCGCAATATAGTTAGTAAGATTAAAGTTACTTTTTTGTTTGGATTGATTGAATTAATTGGTGATGACTATCTAACATTTTTTATTTTCTCTTTTTCTTTTTCTTTGAACCCAATGGGGCGTTGAGTGGTGGGGGCTGGGGGAGCTTAGGGTTAATTTTGTTGAAACTCTCTCTATATGAGACCCCTCGGATGGAAGAATAGTCGGAGACCACTTAAGTTGGACTACTTCCTCTTATTTAACATGTTTTCTATATTTTATTAACTAGATAGATTTTAAATACCATTTTTCGTAAGTAAACACATTTTGTCAATTCACTCTCTTCAATCAAAATTTCATGAAACTTATTCAGCCAATTACTAACATTACCACACTTTCTGATATAATTTTCATATTTTTTGGTATTCTGAACTCTCAAGTGTCCTCAAGTGTCTATTGGGTCAAATTGCCTAACATGATCATGCGTATAAAACATATACGAAGTATTAGCTCATGTACTTATTACAATTGTTAATCATGGAATCATTTCTTAATTCCACTTTGAACAAATGTTTAAAAGCAAAAAGCGTGACATGGTGCTCCACTTTTCTCCATATGATCTCTTTTGTATTGGGTTTCTTTATTAAGGTTGGCTTTACATTGCTTCACATGTAAGGCTGTTGTATGTGCTTTTGTTTGTTAAATCAATTAAGTAGTTTTAGCGTGCTTGCTTGTGATCCGATCAAAATGGTCCCTTCCCGTGTCTCCGTTCGCATCCCACTCTAATCCAATCTTTACCATCTTATATGAAATTAGTCGACTAATCAGTGCGTTGTAGGAATTATAAATGAAATTGAATTTTTCTACTAAAAAGGGGAAAATTCCCGAAATATGAGTAAATAAATTGAATTTAAAGTCTGGTATCGCCAAAACATGACAATAATTAGTCATATTTTGGGAAGAAAAACATGGCAGTCCTATTTTGTAATATACAAACGTTTTTAGTCTTATTTAGGGTAATTTTCCATCAAAAAAATTGTAGTGTATGTAGTTGTGATATAAAATTTAATACATGAAACAAGATTGTGTTAATTACCATTGATGGATCGCCGACCCTAGGGGTAATCGGAATCCTAAAAGTGTGTGTGAGACTGTGTGTGTGTGTGTGTGAGAGAGAGAGAGAGAGAGAGAGAGAGAGAGAGAGAGAGAGAGAGAGAGAGAGAGAACGGATAAAAATGCTAAGTAAGATTGGGTATGTATTTCAGCAGCATAACAACAAGATTGCATAGAGAACTTCAGATCTCTTTCCACATGTTAGAAGGTGATATTTATACTAAGTAAAAAATACTTGGCCAACAAGTTAAAAATATGATATTCTATTGTGGTGAAGACACGTGGCACACCTGCCTAACAAATAAACAAACTAATCTAATAATATGACGACACATGTAAAAGTGATTGGAGAGATAACTGGGACAGATGGCTGATTGGAACTGTGCATAACAGATTTATACTAGGACATACGTGCATGTTACACGTGTACTGCCCAGAATATTCCTTGGCGATTTAGCCTGGAGTGACGTGGCGCTTTGTATAGTGTTGGTGATGTGGCGGTGGCTTGCGTTACACTTGATCTCTAAAAACGTCTAAGTCCACATTTGGCTGGTGAGACCCCGAGCTCCCGGAGGTCAGAGCTCGGGGAGGGTGAGCTCATATTATAGAGTTCATCTCTGGTCTTTTCCGCGGTAGCGGTGATTCTTTTGCTGACTTTTGTTGACTTCAGTTGACCTTGTATCATCGTCACAGGTCGGACCTGGTACCGACCTTGGTGTGCTCGAGGTCGGGCTCATATTTCATCATATCCGGGCGATTTGCGAGTTCGATGTTGGCGCTGACCTCGGTGTGCTCGAGGTCGGCGATCTTTGTACTTCGTTGATTCACCGTCTTGTGTCTGGTCCTGACCTCGTGCGTCGAGGTCGGCCTCGGCTGAAACTTCTGTAAACTTAAGTGTTTTGTTGCATGGCTGGAAGCCTTTGCCCGCCAATTATGATACCCCTGGGTATATAGAAGTATACTCTGTCAACCATTTCTAATAATTGTATAAAATTAATTATGATACCCAAATTAATTAATACTACGTATAAAATTAGAAATGAAATATTTTTCTAGTCTATGGTTTTTTTCGTACGATGCAGATGATTTAAATAAATTTCTTTCTCATTCCTTTATGTTATTTCTTGTTAACTATGATGAATATTCTATACACAATTTTAATCTTATACCATATTTGTATGTTGTTTTCAAGTATCAGTAGTATATTCAAAACCACTTTCCTGAAAACCATTCCATATTTAATTTTAACCATCTCTTCGTAATTAATACACTTAATTTTTCATAAAATACCAAGTAGCTATTTATAATAATATAAAAATTATGTCTTTATCGATAATTCATCATGCACAATAATTTATCAATATGTCAATTAGTCAGATCTCAGGCTGTATTCTGAAATATCTTCGTTCATTCACTTATATGATACGAAGTATGAATATAAAGACAAATTTAAACTATGGAGATAAACTTATATTTAAAGATTCACGGTTAGCCACCACAAAATCGTAATACTTAAAAATGAAACATAAATATTTATATAGTTTTAGTTACATAGGTGTCAAATTGACACTACAACATTTTGAATCTATCACTACACCAAAAAAATGTTCCATTGTTTTTAGCAACAATTTCAAAATTGTGGTAATGTAAGGCGTTGCCTAAACATTAGGGAACAGTTTTGATATTTAAAGTCAACACAACTGGAAAATCGTACTTGTAGACTATAGCTTAGAGAACAGTTTTTGAAAATAGATAGGACAACATTTTTTTATTTGTTCCTATCAATAGTAACAAAAAGAAACTGTTGGCAAAAAGATTACAACCATTTTTTTTAAAACATTGCTACGAAGCACTGCTGTTTTTAAATGCCAATAGCTTAGAAAATGCAACAGTCATGTTTTTTTAAATAGTTTTCAATTGGAAAAGAGGTAAATTTTCATTTCAACAATAATCACTCACAAATCACACCTCAACAATATTATACCTAATAATCAACATCCATTGTCTTCAAATCCTAAATCATCACAATCTGAGTGTCTAAACTCCCAACTTAAAATGAAAATAACTACAAACAGAAAAGCAAACTTCATTAAAACCATCATTCATCAACACCTCAACGTTTATAAATAAACTTGAGCGTTTGTTTGATTAAACGTGAAATGTTTTTGTAACTCTTGATGTGAAAGTATTATATCCGTCATTCTTTCAAAATTTTAATGGTGAAAGTCGTGTTGCCAAATATCATATTAAATGTGTTGCAACTACATAGACGGAGGTAATATTATTTGTTTACAAATATAAGCTCATAATCATTATTCTAAAAATCAGCCTAGGCGGACCGATTAATCGGCCTAGGCGGCCCTAACCGTAGACGCCTAGTCAACCAAAAAATCGGCCTAGTTGGCCAAAAAATCGGCCTAGTCAGCCGCCTAGGCGCCCCTCAACCGCCCGCCTAACGCCTAGCGAGTTTTAGAACAATGCTCATAATGTTAACATCCTTATAAATCTTTTGAATATTTTAAATTATGTACTTAACGTCATAAGCATACATTTACGAAAAGCGTACATTTATGTGAGAAAAAACATATGATATTTGTGGTAAAATATAAAGTTAGAGCAGTTACCTATGCCTTTGGGGTGTTTATACTTCACACTCCTCCAAATTTTGAGGTACTTAAATTGCTTCTAATTTTCTAAGAAATTATGACAAATATACTCCTAAAATAATGAGTGGGTAAAAATTCGAGAAATTTTACTCTTGTTCGAGATTTTTTTTGCAACAATAAATAAGTGAAAAAATAGATAAATGTGAAAGGTAGAATATAAAGAATTAGGGGTGCTGGAACTGATTCTGCTTCTACTTCTTTTTTTAAGTAGAAGCAGAATCAGAATCAGTTTTCAGAAGCTGATCTCTCACAGCTTTTAAAAACCTGCTTTTAGAATTAAATTAGAACACCAGAAGTATTTCTGCACTTTCATCCAAATACTCCAACTTCTGCTTCTTGAAGGGGTGCAAACACCACCTTAGTGGTATAAAACTAAGGAAAATATTTATATTTTTGGGAAAAAGGAAAAAGAAAATGTAAGCTACAGAATGAGACAAACTGGCAGAGGAAGTAATAATTCAAGAAAAAATCATTTCAATACTAAGTACTATTTTACTAGGCCTCTAAAAATGCTAGAGTATGCCGTGTATCCTTTAACCCAAATTATCTTATTGTGACGTCCAGAAACTTTTGAAGCATTGGAACACAATGAATAGAAACAAGAAAGATTTCTGTACAACGGAATCCATCCAAGAATCAGTCCTAACCCCCCGAAAAAAGAGACAAAATCTCATTTCCTTTCCTAGATAAATAAATAAATGAACAGAGAAATTGTATACACTTTCATGCTTCCCATGCATGCTTACAGAACCAATGTTCCAACTAACCATACGATTCCGTTTGCGGAGAGATTCAGATCGGTTTGGTATTTAGGATATTGAGTGAGAGAGCTAGGAAAGCAATGGTGAGTGGCTACTACGTCAAACGACTTTGGGGGGAAACTTCTGGAGAATGTGTGACAGGACCGGACTCCTGGGCAAGAGCTTCAAGAACATTAATGACCTCTGCCGTGTCGTCGACATAATACTTGGCTTTGCTTGGTTTCTGGCCAACTGTGCAAGCATAGACAGAGGAATTAAAGGAGAGAATGCCCCCTTCCAGGGCAGCCCCTATCGCCTCAAACATGTCCTCGTCAGACCTGTCATCCCCTACGCACAGCACGAAATCAGCCTTCTGCCCACCCTCAGCCATACATCTGAATATCTTCTCTGCAACAAGACCTTTACTCACACCCTGTGATTGAGGACGTAACAGGGTAGTCAAGAAATAAAGCATATCTGATGGTTTGTATTAAAAAAATGGCAGTTTCTTTATGTAGTCTAAATTGAAGGTTCCATTTTTCTGAGGATAAAAACAACACTGTTAAATGAGTGAGCATCCACAGTGGAGATGGAGGGCCGGGGTCACTTCAAAATTTTATGGGCCCACTGCGAAGTGACCTGGAACGCCCATGTAGCCAACTCGACCTTGGAGTTCCCTGAGCAATCATTAATACATAAAATAGGGGACAGTTTTAAAGCTCTGTTTGACTATTTGCATCAATCTTCAAACCTGAGAAATCTTTACAAAATAATGTCTTCCTGGTATGAATGTTACAATTTTTTTGGAATGATACTCATTAGCGGAATTTCAAAATACTATGAATATTAAAATGTGTGATTACAATAGTACCCCTACCATTTAAATCGCCCAGACATTTAATATTTAAACCTGAGGATTACATTTTAGAATGTAGCATTAGAATATTTAAATTACAAATCCCTTCCCAGATGCAGCTACCCCCTTTAGATTTATAAAATTTAGTGAAGTTCACAGCTACCCCTTTAGATCTATAAGCGAACTGCGGTTAGACCAATGGGGGGGGGATTGGAGTAAAAGTAAGAAGGTACCTGAGGTTTGACTTCAACAATGAATTGCCCACTCTTAACTTCAACAGGTTCATTTGCAAGAACACTTTCAAGATGGTCTAACATCTCCTTTGCTTGGCTGGACCCGAAACCAAGATCTGCATCACTGTAATGCCAAACCAGAGCACTCTCTTTCGTCTCAATTGAAGAACCATCGGTAGATTCCGTATATAATTTCATTACAGGTTCTGCTATCTGTTTCCACCCGTAATCTGTGTTTTGCCCACAAGTTTCCCACCCTTCATCACCTGTCCACCTGTCAAATTCAACTCTATTTTGGTAAAAAGCATAATACATTTTAGTTTGTTATTGAAAAAGAAGTATATTTAGACTTCCTTATTCTTTACATGAAATACATAAATAAATAGATAAGCTGGAACATAGTGTTGGCTGACTTGTTGCTCTCACATATATGCTGAAAATAGTTTTTTAATTAGATTGAACTTGTATTTTATTTTCCCTCACCTTTCACTCCTTCGAATTTTCATCTTCATCATATCCATTATTTCTACATCTAGCATTTTCAAGGTTCCAAACATACCCTTTCGGGGTTTTATTTCTCCTCAGGTAAACTACAATTTCTTTTTCACCCCTACATCTATCTTCCCTACTTTTTTCCCGAAATTCACCCGGATCAAAAGGTCAGTTGATTACTTATTTGGTAACACATATGAATGTCACTCAATACTAAACGCACTAAATGGCCTTTTTCTTTCAACCAAATGATGTTTACCAAATGGCTCTTGATGATTGTTTTAAGTATCAAGTGGCAGTTATGAATAACACTGCAAAAAGTATTAGAAAAACTCTCTCCCCCATTGCTTAAATGGTATTTAAAAAATAAGAATAAAATCTTGCAATGAAACAGGACAGTCAGGACTTGACGTCTTTACCTCAAAAAGTATCCATGCTCTGCGGCAATGCCCAGTTTCTTGCAATCTGAAAACCAGTGCCCCAAACTATCCCTTCCTCTTCCACTCACAAGGAACACAGTATTCTTAGCATCTTGGCACAATGCACTAATCACTGATATGATTTGTTGACTAGGAACTTTATTGATGGTGGTTTGAGGCATGACCGTCCCATCATAGTCCAACAAAATAGCTCTGTTTTTTGCTCTCGAGTAAGAGGAAGCAATCGCGTCGACCGACAGCTTCCTGAAATTTGGGTCGAGCGCCACCACCCTGAACCCAAAACTCAGACCGATTCCCCAACACCGTTGCCTGAAATGGTCTTTGCAACTCCTCTCCAGATCCTGGAAGAAGCTTCTAGACCAATACGCCACATCGTGCGTGCTGACGTACTTGTAATGCTTCTCATGACGCAGCTGCTTCTCCACATCGGTCATTGAGATCGCATCGTTCAACGCTTCGGCTGTAGCTTCGACATTCCATGGGTTGACCCTTAACGCCCCACTAAGGGACGGCGAACACCCAATGAACTCAGACACCACTAACATACTCTTCTTTGGGGCTCCTCCTTGTCTACAGACAATGTATTCGTACGGAGTGAGATTCAAACCGTCCCTCACGGCTGTAACTGCCACACACTCCGCAATGGTATAGTAGGC